TGATACAGGCCAGGACGCTGTTGGCCGCCTTGGCCACCTGGGCACACTGCTGGCTCCTGTTCAGCCGGCTGTCAACCAGCACCCCCAGGTCCCTTTCTGCCGGGCAGCTCTCCAGCCACTCCTGCCCAAGCCTGTAGCGTTGCATGGGGTTGTTGGGACCGAAGTGCAGGACCCGGCACTCACATGTGTTGAACCTCATACAGTTGACCTCAGCCCATCGATCCAGCCTGGCCAGATCCCTCTGCAGAGCCCTCCTACTCTCCAGCTGATCAACACTCCCACCCAACTTGGTGTCATCTGCAAACTTACTGAGGGCGCACTCAATCCCCTCATCCAAATCAATGACAAAGATATTAAACAGAACTAGTCCCAATACTGAGCCCTGGGGAACATCGCTTGCGATGATGATTTTAAATCCGCCAACTCACCACAACTCTTTGGGCCTGGCCTTCCAGTTTTTTACCTAGTGAGGAGTATGCCCACCCAAGCCATGCGCAGCCTGTTTCTCCAGAATAATTCTGTGGGAAATGGTGTCAAAGGCTTTACTAAAGCCTAGGTAGACAGCATCCACAGCTTTCTCCTCATCCACTAAGCAGGTCACTTGTCACAGAAGGAAATCAGGTTGGTGAAGCAGGACCTGCCTTTTATAAAGCCATGCTGACAGGGCCTGATCACCTGGGTGTCCTGTACATGCTGTGTGATGGCACTCAAGATGATCTGTTGCATAACCTTCCCCAGCCAGAGGTCAGACTGACAGGCCTGTAGTTCCTCGGATCCTCCTTCTAGCCCTTCTTGTAGATGGGCATCACATTTGTTAACCTCCAGTCAACTGGGACCTCCTCATTTAGCCATGACTGCTGATAAATGACTGAAAGTGGCTTGGTGAGCACTTCTGCCAGCTCCTGCAGTACCCTTGGGTGGATCCCATCCAGCTCCATAGTCCTGTTTGTGTCTCAGTGGTATAGCAGGTCACTAACCGTTTCCCCTTGGATTATGGGGACTTCATTCTGCTCCCTGTCCCTGTCTTCCAGCTCAGGGGGCTGGGTACCCAGACAACAACTGGTCTTACTACTAAAGACTGAGGCAAAGAAGGCGTTAAGTACAATAGCCTTTTCCTCATTCTTTGTCACTATGTTTCCCCTCGCATCCAATAAAGGATGGAGATTCTCCTTAGCCCTCTTTTTGTTGCTAATGTATTTATAGAAACATTTTCTATTGTCTTTTATGAGAGTAGCCAGATTAAGTTCTAGTTGGGCTTTGGCCCTTCTAATTTTCTCCCTGCATAACCTCAAGACATCCCTGTAGTCCTCCTGAGTTGTCTACCCCTGCTTCCAAAGGTCATAAACTCTCCTTTTTTTCCCCGCTGAGTTCCAGCCAAAACTCTCTGTTCAGCCAGGCCAGTCTTCTTCCCCACCGGCTTGTCTTTCGGCATATGGGGACAGCCTGATCCTGCGCCTCTAAGATTTCCTTCTTGAAGGATGTCCAGCCTTCGTCATGCATGCCAATAACTGCCTGGGGACATACCCCTGAGGCAAACCAATGCAGAAAGTGGCTGAAGGGCAGTAAATGTCAGTTAATGAGCACATTAATACAAAAAGATGCAAGTTGTTTGGCCAGAAGGTGGCTACAAGTCTAAATTAAAAACTGTCGTGAAGACTTTCAAAGATAAAAAAAAAAAAAAAGGGGGAGAGAAATGTATAAAATGCCATCTTTTTGGAGGGGAAATATTATGAATAGGTGGCTGCTCTATCTATTCCATCTTCATAGACTCCTGATGGCACCCCTCCTTGCAGAAAATGAAGAAAATTACAAAAACCCTACATCACTCAGGTTTTGGCCATTTTCTACAAACCTTGAAAGGTTTTTTTGGATTTGTCCTGACCTTTGCACAAGAGTCAGAACATCAGGTCACTGACAATAGAGCAGAGCAGCATTTTTTACCCTTTCTTAAATATATTATCACAGAGGTGCCATCAGCACTGCTGAGGGGCTCCGCGTCAGGGCAGCAGCAGGTATGTTTTCGAGCCGGCTGAAACACGATGACATTGGGGCAGCTCCTGATCTATCCTTAGAGAAGCCGCCCCTGCAGCACTTGTGTGTCCCCGTTCCCCTTCCCCACCACCACTACCAAAACCTTGCCACATAAACCCAACACAGCGGCACCTTAAGGAAAAGCGATATATTCCTTCCTAGCATGGTCTCCGCTGCCTCCCAGGTTCCTGAGCATCTCATGCCTGCCAGCCACTTGC